ATGGCGGAGTGAACTCCCCGGCCGCCCGCGGCAGCCTAGTGTCTGCAGCGGAGTGCGGCGGGCCACACCCAGCAGGGGGCGCCCGCGCCGCCCCTCCTCGCACCCTCACCGCTCCCAAAGAGCCCCGCGGTCACACACGCGTCGTGCGGGGCTGCGGAAAGACTGCAAGGTCCACGCACGCAGTTAAGTTGACCCAAATGTGTGCAACCCTGCTTTGGCCTTTCTTCATTTCTAAATAACCAGGAACCTCTAAAAATAGAGATGCAGCCTCAGTCGCCCAGGGCCTCTCCATCCCCATACCGGCCCGCGGCCGTTGGGAAAAACGATCTCTTGTCCCGCTTTCGGAGAGCCGCGCCTTTGCCACCGCAGGGTTTGTCACCTGCCTGTCCCTGCTCGGCCCTCCTGAGAGCTGCGGAGCCAAGGTGCAAGGCCTTCCCCTAGTGTGGACCCAGACCACGCTGAGTGGTACTGGTCAAGGAAAGAGTTTATGTAATTTGAAGGCTGCAGGATGGCTCCACTCCGTGCACTAGAAAGCCGTGCGCAATGCGAGTTCGGGTTAACTCGGCCACCTGCCTGGCCTGGCTCTGCTGCGCTGTTTAAAGCCCTCCCCAGCGGCCACTGCCTGTCCTGCAGACCCTCTGCCCTAACCAGAGCCTACGGTTTATCTGAGACCGCTGTCCCATTAGCACTTTGTCGCCCTCTGCAAGTACCCACTTACTCTCTGCCTTCTCCCACAGAGGAAAAATCTAAAAGGACTAACCCACATAAAGGTGTGACTTCTGGTTTCACAGAGAAGACAGCAAAGAATGAACCCCTGGCGATGAATTCCAAGGTGGAATTCCAAGTCTGACCACAGAGTGTGGGGAAGGCTCTCTTTATGAATCTAAGTAAGCCACCTGCTTCTTAGGCAGATGACCTTCCTGCTTGAATGCAGTGAGTTATAAAACAACAGAGCCCTTAACTGGAACACGTTGGGGCTAGACTCCAGAATGTTTTGGATTTGGGGGAAAATATGTGATGCATGTTACACGTTATGTAACATCCTGCAGCAGCAGCACCCCATAGTCAAACCCATCAGTTCTGATTTCGCCAACAAAATGTACACATACTCATAAGGGACAAATAAAGAGCATAAGGTCAGATCTGGCTTTGCCAAGAATGAGTTTTGATGGCAAACAGATAAAAGATGTGTCTGTTTAGAGCACGGTTTAGATTTAGATATTCTGGAGAAGGGATTGTGGATTAAACAAAGGCAGAGATACATAGACCCCCCACCCACACCCCAGTGTGGATGCCTGGAAAGGTACATAGCCCTGGCTTCCCCAGGATTCCATGCACTTGAGATGGGGGGCAGCGCTCTCAGATGGAAGCAGCATTTTGACTGGAACACTAAAGGAGGAGGTGCAGACTTGGGATTCAGATCATCTCTGGAGTCTGTAAACAGAACCATTTTCCTCGGCTTCCTAATTTGGACAAATGAATAACTGGTCTGCAGATCAGACTTTGCCCACAGACACTCCCAGAGGACCTGGTGCCAGCTGGTCGCTTAAACCAGGAGTCATCCAGACCCTCAGTTATGGGCTCCTGGAATGCCTGGCTCTCTTTGAAGACCAGATGCTGCTCCAATTTACGGAGGAAACCTGGACAGCCAAAACGATTTCTTTTTAGGACAGTTGGCAGGGAACCTGTGGCAATGGTGCCTTGGAGGGAAGTGGATAAGGAATTAGAATTAACCCTGACCACTCTTTGTATTTACCTTTCTCCTAAACATTCCTGGAAGCAACCAGCATACATGCAGAACTTAAACATTTGCAAGAAGCATTGCAATCAGGAAATCAGCCAGTCCTGAACTGGAATTCCCAGCTGTGACAAAAACTGCTGTGTGATCTTGGGCAAGTTACTTGCCCTCTCTCAGTCTCAGTCTCTTCCAACATAAAATAAGAAAACCTACTTTTCGGGTTGTTTTGTGGATCAATGAAATAAGCAAAAGTGCCTAAAATCAATGTTTATCACACAGAAGGTGCTCAATAACTACTACTTATTGTTTCCATGGAGGCACAGAAAGAGTGGGAGTCTGCCCAGGGGGCAGGTTAATCGGTTAGTATTACTTGGCCCTCTGGCTTCCTCTGCACGCCCTTTAGCAAGGCTGGACTGACAAGTACTACTAACAATAGCAGTAACAACTCCAAGAAGTGGGATGAGGGGGACAGAACTAACCTTCAGGCTGTAAGATTTTAATACAATCAACCTCCAGTACCCCTCTAGGCATCCAAGGGGCCAAACAGGTGCTACTGTAACTCCTTGCATTTCTAATGTATTCCAGACCCTTGAGGCCCAAATGCAAGGGAACACCCATGCAGTTGGCTATGATCTGGAACTAGAAGACCTGGGCTGGAGATCCTTGCTCTGCCTCCACCTGCCTCTGTGACCTTGGGTGCATTTCTTAACCTTCCTGAACTTCTGATTCTTCCTCTGTGCTGTGATACCACTTCCTTGCAGGTTTGTTATAAAAATTAAATAAAATAGTGCATGAGAAATGCCTGGCATGTGGCAAGAACTAAAACACATTGGCCTGATG